GTAGCAGCAGGCCCATACCACAGGATGCCAGGTGGCTCATGTCTGCCAAGAAAGATGGAGGTGTGATCAGGGAGCTCTGACAGGAGGTACCTCAGAGCATCTTGGGGTGGGGAGCTGCTCTGGGGCTGGGCCATCAGGAGGGCCACTCAGGTGTGGAGCTCAGATGAGAGCACCTGGAGGGTTGCAGGACATGGGAAGGTCAGTCAGTTCACTGGGGGCACTTTGATCCTTGGGGTCAACTGGGAGCTGTGTAGGATGTAGGGGTCAGTCAAGGTCATCTGAAGGTGACTTGTGTTGCTTGGCAGAGATCACTTAGGATATGGAGCAGTCAGTCACTCATGCTCTGACTGATGACCACCTGGGATGAGTATCAGGGTGACTTGGGTATCACTTAGAGTGTGAAGGAGGTCAGCCAGGGCCCTGGGGGTGCCACTGGCGATGTGTCAGTGTTATCATCTCTCATGTGAAGTGATGGAGTCAGGGAACCAGGGGGTGCCCAGGGGCACCTGTGAGGTAAATCAGGAAGTCTGGTAGGACAGTCATAATATCAAGGAGGTGGTCAGGATTATTGGGGAAAGGTCACTCAGGGTCACCTTTCAGGGGTCACTCAACACTGGGGGTCACTTAGGGCACTTGGGGGCTGCTCGGGATGTGTGGGTTGCTTGGAGTCACCCAGGATGTAGGGAGACCTGGTGTGGCTCACGTGGAGCATGGAGGAGTGAAGATGTCAGGGCTGCTCAGGTACAGGAGGGTCCTGCTGGGTGTTGAGGGGGTCATTCAGTATGTGGGGTCCCTGAAGTGCTCAAATGGGTAAAAACGTGGTGAGCTTGGTCACGGATGCCACTCAGGGATCCCTGAGTTGGGGACACTGCTCCAGAGAAAGGCGGCACTCACATTTCCAGGGGAGCCGTCCATGGGGGGCGCTGAGTAGCGGCGGTAGGTGGTGTTCCAGCGCTGGCCGGGGGCCTGGGGGTCCTGCATGGTGACCGTGTACTCTGAGGATGCCCCAAAGCAAGGTTACCAGGCATGCCCACCTGATGCCCCTCCCATGCCCACCTCCGCGGGTCTCATCTTGTGGGGGTGGGGCTTCTGAGCACCCAGCCTGGGGTGGAGGCCGGGGCATGGGAGGAGCATCCTGGTCTGTCTTGGTTACTGCTCTATCTCCAGTTCTTTGATCAGTGAAATACTCGTTGACTGACAACTTGACAGACTGGCCCAACTCAACTTGCATAGCAATTGCCAGGCCTGGATAGAGCAAAGGAGGAGGCTGCTGGGGGAGCAGCTGGGGCCTGACTCACGCGTGCGGCCGATGTAGAGGCGGGGCGCAGAGGTGCCCTCTGTGGTCAGTGTCATCTGTGTCTCCCCTGACTCCGGGTCCACCACAAACCAGGCATCCTGCTTTCGGCCTGTGGAGGTGGAAAGCGTGCCAGCCCTCAAGATGGCCTGGGAGAGGGTGTGCAGCCTGTTCCTCCTGTGCCCAGCTGGCCCGTCAGGACCTAGGTTCCCGTCCTGGTGCTGGGCCTGGCCCCACAGGCTGGGGCTGGAGAGGCGCTTACCCGTATAGAAGACGCCATCGGAGCTGCGGCACGGGGAGGCGTGGACCAGCTCGGGGATGGTGAACGGCAGTTTCTGAGGAGAGGGAAACATGCCAGGGAGGAGTAAGAGCAGAAAAACTCACCCAACCTATCCATGAGGTAGTTGTTACTGTTTCCATTTCCCAGAGAGGCTAAGCAGCTGGGCTGTGCCTGTGAGAAGCCGGGGATGGTTGTAGATTTAAGGACACCGAGAGACTCGACAACCACATGGGCTGGGGACCCTGGGCCAGGAAACAGTGAGGGGCACCACTGAGACACTTCACAGAGTCAACATGCGCTGCGAATAGGCAATGCTATGCGCCATGGCTAACCCTCCTGGCTTCAGTCATCTACACGCAGGCTGCATGGGAAAGAGGCCTTGTTCTCAGAAATACACAACGACGCTTTAGAAGTAAAGGGCATAGTGCCTGCAACTCGCTCTTGAAAGGTTCAGAAAAAGACATTTTACATGAAAAAAAAAAGTAATATTCTCAGCATTCTATTAATCTATCATCTACCGAGAGAGAACAATAAAGCAACATGATGTTAAAAATCAATGAATCTGGGTGAAGGGAATAAAGAATTTCTTTGTACTATTCTTGCATTTTTTCCTATATTTGAAGTTTTATCAAAATGAAAAACTACACACACAGAAAAAGCTCAAAACTGCATGTACAGAGCTGTTGCCAGACGTATCCCAGGGACACAGTCCTGAGGGAAGAGAATTGGGGCTCCTGGGGATAGAGGGCCACCGACAAGAGGCCCTCACCACCTGGACAGGTAAGGCCCGTGTTCCTGAAAGGAACTGAGGGCACCTATTGTGGATTTGGGAAGTTCATTCATTCATTCACTCATTCATTCATTCACTCATTCATTCATTCAAGCCACCGGATGCCGGGTTGTCAGGCTGTGGTAGCCCCCAGCCACTAACCTTCTATGTACCTCCAGGATGGTACAATGTGTGGCCCC